GTCCAGCAGAATTTTATATAAATGGAATTGTAAGTATGCAGTCTTCTTTTACTCAATGTTATTTCTATGAAATTCATCCACATTTCAAATATAGATCTTTTTCATTGTTGTATGATACTCCACATACAACTGTCTACATACAAATGTCTATAGACAATTTATCTGTTCTGTTCTTCTGTTAATTGTCTTTTGGAGGGCCAGCTGGTTGTGTGTTCATTAAAGTGGTTGGATCCCATATGGCTTACTGCATGGTTGAGTCCTGGACATGGTGGCTTGAAAAACATACAAGACAAGCACGCATGTATGCCCAAAATCCCAAGAGGAGCATGGAGGAGAAGGGATTGTGATGTGGCCCTACCCCAGGGGTGCTTTCTCATTTTACCCCACTCCACCTTTTTTCTTCCCCACAAGTGCATATGCCTTATAGCAAAATTAAAAAAAAAAAAAATGTGAGGAACCAGCAGTTAGTGTAATGGCTATGTCGCTGGACTCCCACGTAGTCGACCACGGTTCGCATCCCGGACCCGGTGGCTTAGAACTCACGCCGGGCGCATGTGTGTGCATGCCCAAGATCCCGAGAGGAGAATGGAGGAGAAGGGATTGAGGCGTGACCATCCCCCTGGGGGGTGATTTCTAGCTTTCTGTCTCTGCGTCTCTGTCTGTCTGGTGAGTGCACGTGCCCTACCTATAGTGAAAAAAAAAACTTCTCCCCCCAAAAAATGTCATTTGGATTGTTTCCCAATTTTGGCTATATGAATAAAGCTTCTATGAATATTTTTATATTTCTTTATACTCATGCCTCATGTATATATATATCTAGAAATAGAATTTTGGGGTCATATGATTGGCATATATTTAGCTTTAGTAGCTATTACTAAAAAGTTCCAAAATGGTTATATCAGTTTACACTTTGACTAACAGGTAATAATAGTTGCAGTTGCTTTGTATCCTTACCAATGCTTGATATCATTAGCATATTATCTAATATTTATTTAATGATAACTGAAATTTTAACAAATGATGTATCTTTATTTAAAAATTTTTTTTATTTTTGGAGAGTTTTTTTTTTTTTTTTTTTTTTTGGGTGGGTGCGCTCACCA